ACCTCCCATGAGTATTCATGGGAGATGGTACTGCACATGCAGAGGATTTCCTAGGCCAGCATCTATGTCAGCCTTCCTGAGTGAGCCCCCACGTTGCATGGGGTGGTGGTGTCCACGTACACAGAGGTACCTATGTCACACAGAGTAGTGGCAGGTAGGTTAACACAGAGACACCTCTGTCAGAGACTGGTGGTCAACCCTGGGATCAGTATCCACCAGAAGACGTGGCTCCCAGAACGCTGTCTAGATTTGGTCAGTGAAGGTTCCAGGAGTGACACTGCCAGGAATAGGAGTGGCTCCAGGGGCAGCAACAAATAGCTCGCTGGCAACATAGCTTACTGGCCAGTATTCCAGGATATGACACTGACATCAGCAGGGTTATCAATGGCATAGGCTGCCAACCGAAGCTTCTCCCAGATCCATTTCAGACTTACGATGTAGATGCCATTGTTGTTCCTTTTGTACATGTACTGGTCCATTTGGAAGTCAAGGCTAGTGCCACCTAAGTGGGTTCCTGGTACATGGAATCTGAGGACACCCTCCTCCTTCATTTGCAAGACATCAAAGGTTCTGGACATTATGACAGTTTCCCTTCAGTATACAACAGGAATCCAGAACAACGCCATATGCACCCCACGCTAAGTAGCACAGAAAGGCAGAGGACAATTATTTTATATATGGGACACCAGGGAAGCCTTTATGAGCAGTGACTTTGAACTGCCCTTTAAGGATGTTAAAGACATTCTAAATGGAGGTAGCATAGAGGACCAACATAGAGGACATATGGGGTATGTATAGACAAACAGCAATTTACCAAAAAAAAAATTTTTTTTTTGAGACAGAGTCTCACTGTGTCACCCTCGGTAGAGCACGTGATGTCACAGCTCACAGCAGCCTTACCGTCTGGGGCTTTTTTATTCTTTTTTTTTTTTTTTGAGATAGAGTCTAAAGCTGTCCCCCTGGTAGAATGCTATGGCATCACAGCTCACAGCAACCTCCAACTCCTGGGCTCAAGTGAGTCTCCTGCCTCCGCCTCCCAAGTAGCTGGGACCACAGGTGCCTGCCACAACGCCTGGCTATTTTTTGGTTGCAGCCGTCACTGTTGTTTGGCGGGCCCAGGCTGGATTCAAACCAGCCACCTTAGGTGTATATGGCTGGTGCCTTAGCCACTTGAGCCACAGGCGTCAAGCCGCACAGTCTCAGGCTTAAGCGATTCTCTTCCCTCAGCCTCCCAAGTAGCTGGGACTACAGGTGCCCTCCACAATGCCTAGCTATTTTTTTGTTGCAGTTGACAATGTTATTTAGCTGGCCTGGGCTGGGCTCAAACCCACCACTCTCAGTGTATGTGGCTAGCACTATGGGCGCCAAACCATAACTGGTTTTCTTAAAACCATAAACAATGAGTTTATATCAAACAAAAGCTTAAACATGAATACACCTCAAACAGGGAGCTTGAGACTCAACATTTTAACTCTGTAGTGGTAGTTAAAAAATTTGAGCTCTAAATTTTTCTTGATATAATTTTCCCTTTAGTGAAAACTGTGTGTGCACAAAAAATTGGCCATTCTAGAAAACCTAGCATGTCATTGATTTAATACTTACAAGTAGAGACACCACCATAGACCAGGAGGGGATCATTCTCCTTGTTTTCCTTCATTTTCAAAGGATTTCTTTCCCATTTTAAAGTATTTATTTCCCAGTGAAAGCTCATTTATCTCTCAGAATAAACCAAAGACCATCAACCACCACTTTTCCTCACACTCCACACCAGTGGTACCAACCACCACCATTTTCCCTCACAAGTAGTATCACAATACAAAAACTTACTAGGTAAGTGGTACAAAAATTCACAAACACAAACAATATAGAGAATGCTCAATACGAATAATCTAAAATGCCACAGCCTTTTGATCAAAAGGGAACTTTCATATAACAGAATATCATTCTCCTTCCAAAATTTTTTCCAAGAAACTTTGAAATGGATCTTCCTTATGTTGCAAGGAAACTCACAAATAACAGACAACACAGAGGACCCTTAACACAATAATGGCCTATCAAACAAATGGGGATCCAAAGAGCACAAAGGCCACCCCAAATGCCTCCTCAGGCAGTGATTCAAATGCCCTACCACAAGGCTGGAAGGTTTACAAATGGGAAACCAAAATGGGTAAATGCCACCCCAAATAGCTGGAAGGTTCTGAGGCAAGAAAGTAAAAGCAGAACTAAAAGAATCTATCTATCCTAGCCGCTCGGTGTAGGCCTCAGCCAAGCCGCAGGCGTTTCTGCTGTCTGCGTGTTTCTCCCCTGACCTACGTGGGGCCTAGATTGTAACCTAGTAACTTCCTTGGGTTTCTATTGCCTTTGGGGCAGGTGGTCCAACCGGTCTCAAGGACGCAGGCGAATCTGACCTTCCTCCTTGAGCCCAGGACCTTGAAGATGATGTCATGTCTCTCTGTCTTATGACCCTCACGTGCACTCCCACCCTGAAAAGTGGATAAAAGAGAGGCAAGAGATTGAGTCGGGGGGCTCAGTTTTGGGAAACACGCTGGTGTTCTGAGTACCCCCAGCCGAATAAACCCGCTTCCTCTAATCAACTGGGGCCTGGAGTCTTCTGTCTGCGTCAGTTTCCCGCTACAGTTCAAAACCCTCCCTAAATGGGTGGCCTAATTCTCATCTTATGGGCCCCAAATGGACAGCCTGCAACTATAATGCCCATGAAAATTTTCCTTTTATTTATTTTATTGTATCGTTTTTTTTTTTTTTTTGAGAGTGTCTCACTTTATTGCCCCTGATAGAGTGCTGTAGTGTCAGAGCACATAGCAACCTCAAACTCTTGGGCTTAAGCGAGTCTCTTGCTTTAGCCTCCCAAGTATGTTGGGACTACAGATGCCTGCCACAATACCTGGCTATTTTTAGACATGAAGTCTCGTTCTGGCTTAAGCTCGTCTGGAACTCATGAGCTCATGCAATCCATCCACCCTGGCCTCCCACAGTGCTAGGATTACAGGTGAGAGCCACCGTGCCCAGCCTTCCCACGAAAAAGCACCTGGTAGACATTTAAAATTTTCAGGTATAGACAGGGATGAAAAACACTGACCTCAAGGATCTAACCCTCTACTATTGCTCCAGTCATGCTCCTATTCACTCACACATACCAACTAACTGGCCTTTTTCCTTTTCTTCAGTGGTCCAAATCTTTTTATGCCTTAGGGACTTTGCACTAGCCACTCTAGGGGTGTCCAACATTTTCTTTTCTGCTGCAAATTGGAAGATTAAGAGTTATCTTTGGGCTCGGCGCCTATAGCTCAACTGGCTAAGGCGCCAGCCACGTACACCTAAGGTGGTGGGTTCGAATCCCCAGCCCGGACCCGCCAAACAACAATGACGGCTGCCACCAAAAAATAGCCAGGTGTTGTGGCAGGTGCATGTGGTCCCAGCTACTTGGGAGGCGGAGGCAAGAGACTCGCTTGAGCCCAGGAGTTGGAGGTTGCTGTGAGCTGTAATGCCATGGCACTCTACCCAGGGGCACAGCTTGAGGCTCTGACTCAAAAAAAAAAAAAAAAAAAAAAGAGTTGCCTTTGGACACACAGTAAATACACAAACACTAATGAAAGCTGATTAGCAAAAAAAGATCTGTGCATACTTTTTGTGATATCTGACACCACAGATAAGCAAAAAAATTCCTCACAAAAATTGGCATGTGGCCTGAAGGCAGATTAAAAACCCTAAATTCTTTCTACTTGGAAAGCTCTTTCTCAGATCTTATCACAGTGGGGTCCTCTACCACCTTTCAGTCTCAACTTAAGTATTAGCTCCTTTACCAGATCTTCTCTGACATCCAAATGAAAATAGATCAGATGACACTTTGTTTTATTTTTATCAAAGCATTTATATGTATTTTTGTATGTTTATATTGTCTTTCTTTCCCCACAAAAATTTAAACTCCAGAGTTTAGGTATTCACTGCTATGCCCTCAGGGTATAGAGTAAGTATTCAAGAAACAATTGCTGAATGGAAATAAATTGGCATTCTTGGAACCCAGGCAAATAGGCAGGCCTCAGGGCTGTCTTCCAAGGTTTTAGAACAATGTATATTTCCTTTTGATTTATGGATATTTCCTTCATCCTAGCATACTTCTGTAACCGATGTTATAGAACAGGTTTATTTTATTTTTTGAGACAGAGTCTCACTTTGTCATCATCCTCGGCAAAGCGCTCTGGCATCATAGCTCACAGCAACCTCAAACTCTTAGGTGCAAGTGATTCTCTGGCCTCAGCCTTCTGAGTAGCTGGGATTACAAGCACCTGCCATAGGTGCCCCGCTATTAGTATTTATTTTTTTGGCTGGGGCTGGGTTTGAATCCGCCACCTCCGGCTTATGGGGCAGGCACCATACCCTTTGGAGGCGAAGGCACTGCCCCATGGCGCCTCACTATTTTTAGGGACAAGGTCTTGCTAGTCAAGCTGGTCAAGCTGGTCTCCAACCTATGAGCCCAGACAATCCATCCGCCTTGGCCCAGAGTGCTAGGATTACAGGTGTAAGCCACCACATCCAGTCCCGGAACAGGATATATAATAACCCTATTAACTATTTATATATCCCTTACCTCATCCTCCCTCTAACTTTTTCACTAGAATTGCCAACAAAGTCAAATTGACTTATTTAAAAGATATTTGACTTAGTTTTCTCGCTAAGATTCTGACAGATTGGTTAACAAAGAAGGGCCTCAGGGGCAATGGTTAGAAGAAACCAAAAAGAAAAAAAATCCATCTACCAGATGGACAACTTTAATTTGGAAAGAATTTTCCAATGTGAAGCTTGACACTCTAAATGGGCATTAAGTTGAACACAAAATGCTTCCCAAATAAACATAAAACACTTTCATGGTTCCTTCAACCTAAGACTTCAAGAAATTTTATAAAGAAATAAAAACATCTAAGTAACTGACCCAGGCTATCCCTCACCACTAGCAATTTTACAACTAGAAGTGAAGGTATTACCTTTGGGATATCTCCCTTAATACCTGGAGGCAGCCGCAGAATCCAGAAATTCCTGTTGCGCAGCAGGTTCTCCAAGTTCTCCAGCCGCCTCTGCAGCAGCCCGTACTCCTGCAGCAGGGTCCCCAGCACGGCCCACTTGCCCTCCAGCTGGTTGCCAAGCTCCATCACTGTCTTTTCACAGCTGGCTAATTTCTTCTCTGCTGTCCCTGTTCGGCCTTCTAGGTGTAGGAGTCGCCGGCTGTGGACCTCCACCTTCCTCTCGATAGCCTGCACGGCAGCCACCACTGTCCACAAAGAGATGGCTGCTGTCTGCAGGTGTGCCTCATTTGCTGCTGGGGCCGTGGGAAGAGGAAGTGGCTGCAGGGATGTAAGGCACTCGGAGTCCCATTCAGAAGTCTGTGTGCAGTGGAGAGATTGCACAAGACATTAAGCATTAGAAGGAACCCTAATTCCAAATTATTACTTAATTGAACTGCTTAACTATCTGGCTAAGATTTACATGAATATAATTTTACTACTGCCTATATATGCCTCATCTTTCTGGAGCTCACTGGCATCAACAGCCAAGAGAACTGCTTTGGTATTTCACAGATGATTTGGTAAGACAATGAATGAGTGAAATTGGCTTTTTAAGAACCAGTCTGGATGGCGCCCCATAGCTTAGTGGGTAGGGCTCTACCACATACAGGGAGGCTGGCAGGTTCCAACCTGGCCCAGGCCAGATTAAACAACAATGACAACTGCAACAACAACAAAAACAACAACAACAACAAAAAAAACCCAGCTGGGTGTTGTGGCCAGCACCTGTAGTCCCAGCTACTTGGGAGGCTAAGGCAAGAGAATCACTTAAGCCCAAGGTTAGAGGTTGCTGTGAGCTGTGATGCCACAGCACTCTACCAAGGGCAACATACTGAGACTCTGTCTCAAAAAAAAAAGCAAAAAGAACCAGTCTGGTAAATGTCCTCTGACATAAGGCCAAGGGACTCCGGTTGCTGCTGCATCTTCTATCTTTGGAAAAGGCAAATGTACACAAAGATCCTTTCCAGTTTCACTTAAGTTAATTCCCTCTAATAAATCCCTTATAGACATGCTCTGGCTCTGCCCATACCCTGTTCACAAACCATAACTACACCACTTGGTAACAGTTGAATAAGCTGTGAATCTTGAATGTGGAGAAATAATGACAATTGTTTTCAAATATTTGAGGGCTACAAAACAGAAGGCAGCTTATTCAAACCACGCTTTCTTCTTTCCTTCCCTAGGGAAAAAATGTCATCCTACTTAAAGCTAATCCCTCCACTTACGCTCTGAATGCCAATTCTCTTCACCTTTTGGGTAAATTTTTTTTTTTGAGACAGAGTCTCACTTTGTCGCCCTTGGTAGAGTGCCATGGTGTCATAGCTCACAGCAACCTCAAATGCTTGGGCTCAAGTGATTCTCTTGCCTCAGCCTCACAAGTAGCTGGGACTACAGGGGCCCACCACAGCGCTCGGCTATTTTTTTTTTTTTTTGAGACAGAGCCTCAAGCTGTCCCCTTGGGTAGAGTGTTGTGGTATCACAGCTCACAGCAACCTCCAACTCCTGGGCTCAAGCGAGTCTCCTGCCTCAGCCTCCCAAGTAGCTGGACCACAGGCACCCGCCATAACACCTGGCTAATTTTTTGGTAGCAGCCGTCATTGTTGTTTGGCAGGCCTGGGCTGGATTCAAACCCGCCACCTTAGGTGTATGTGGCCGGTGCCTTAGCCACTTGAGCCACAGGCGCCGAGCCACTGGCTATTTTTTGTTGCAATTCTCATTGCTGTTTTAGCTAGCCCAGGCTGGGTTCGAACCCACCACCCCTGGTATATGGGGCTGGCGCCCTACACACTGAGCCAAAGGTGCCACCCTTTTTGTTTGTTTGTTTTGAGACACAGTCTCACTTTGTTTCCCTTGGTACTGCCCAGCTATTTTTAGAGATGAGGTCTTGCTTTGGCTCAGGTTGGTCTCAAACTACTGAGTTCAGGCGATCCACCTGCCTCAGTCTCACAGAGTGCTAGGATTACAAGCATGAGCCACCCTGCCAGCCCTCCTTTTTTTTTTTAAATGAGACAGAGTCTCACTATCGCCTTTGGTAGAGTACCGTGGAGTCACAGCTCATAGCAACCTCAAACCCTTGGACTTAAGCCCACCACGACGCACCCCCCCCCCCCAAGATATTTTGTTGGTGCAGTTTTTAACTGGTCCAGGACAGGTTCAAACTGCCATCCTTGGTGTATGTGGCTGGCGCCATAACCACTGTGCTATTGACCCTGGGCTCCCTTTTTATTTTTTATTTTTTGAGACAGTCTCACTTTGTCACCCTTGGGCTGAAGGGATTATTTTGCCTGAGCCTCCCAAGTAGCTAGTACTACAGGTACCTGCCACAACACCTGGCTATTTTTTTGTAGTTGTCATTGTTGTTTGGCAGGCCCGGGCTGGTTTCAAACTGTCAGCTCTGGTGTATGTGGCTGGCACCTTAGCCGCTTGAGCTACAGGCACTGAGCTATGATTCTTCTTTATAAGACTGACTTGCACTGTTCAATACAGTGGCCATGGAGCATCTAACATAGGGTGACCAGATTTTAACATTTGTAAAGGGGGACAACATGGGGGGGGCGACAGGGCGGGGCAGGGCCTAACAACAATACAAACTTTGATAAGCAGTTCTCAATAATCACTTCTCAACAATTATTTGTTATTATTACAGTTTAACATTATAAAATTAACAAAAATAATATAAAACTCATATTCTGGCGAAATAGCCACATGGCAGCCGAAAACCGTATATTCCCTTCCAGTTCTCCCACCCTTTCCTGCATTGTTTCCAAAAATTGGGACTTTTTTAAAATGCCGCGGGACACGGGACAAATTGTTCAAAAGTGGGACTGTCCCGCCAAAAGCAGGACGTCTGGTCACCCTAATCTAACAGGTTGTTATATCTATTAAGATGTGCTGGCTTGGCGCCTGTGGCTCAAGCGGCTAAGGCGCCAGCCACATATACCTAAGGTGGTGGGTTTGAATCCCCAGCCCGCCTGCCAAACAACAATGATGGCTGCAACCAAAAAAATGGCCAGGCGTTGTGGCGGGCACCTGTAGTCCCAGCTACTTGGGAGGCTGAGGCAGGAGACTCACTTGAGCCCAGGAGTTGGAGGTTGCTGTGAGCTGTGATGCCATGGCACTTTACCCAGAGGGATAGCTTGAGGCTCTGTCTCAAAAAAAAAAAAAAATGTGCTATGGCTCAGTGCCCCTAGCTCAGTGAGTAGGGGGCCAGCCACATACACTGAGGCTAGCAGGTTCAAACCCAGTCTGGGCCTGCTAAACAACAATGACAACTGCAACAACAACAACAAAAATAGCACTGTGGCAGTCGCCTGTAGTCCCAGCTACTTGGCAGGCTGAGGCAAGAGAATCGAGTAAGCCCAAGAGTTTGAGCTTGCTTTGAGCTGTGATGTCACAACACTCTACCGAGGGTGACATGAAACACTGTCTCTAAAAACAAAACAAAATATTAATTTCTTCTATTTCTTTTTACAATTTAACTTTTATTTAAGAAATAGAGTCTGGGCCAGCCGGGTGGCTCACACCCCTAATCCTAGCATTCTGAGAGGCAGAGGAGGGTGGAGCTTAGAAGTTGGAGACCACCCGGAGCAAGAATGAGACCCACCTCCGCTAAAAATAGAAAAATTAGCCAGGTGAGGTGGCGGAAGCCTGTAGTCCTAGCTACTCAGGAGGCCAACGCAAGAGGATGGCTCCAACCCAGCAGTTAAAGGTTGCTGTGAGCTACAAGGCCACAGCAATCTAGACTGGGGCAAGAGTGAGACTCTGGCTCAGAAAAAAAGGAAAAAGAAAAGATACAGGGTCTGGCTATGTTATGCAGGCTGGGCTGACCTCCCCTGCTGAAGCAATTCTCCTGCCTCCCCAGTAGCTAGAACTACAGGAGCTCGCCCCTACACCTGGCTTCCCTTTATACTTTTTACAACACTGCTACTAGAGAATGTTAAGTTATGTATGTGCCTTCCATTATATTTCTATTGGACAAGGCTGGCACAAACACACGATCATCTCTACCACATTACCAAAAAAAGGGGGGGTTGGTTCAAGAGTAAAGATGACACCACCACCCCCCTACCCCGCCATCCCCTCTGCTCTTTTCCCGCCTCTCCCCTCTCATACTTTCCAATCACTCTTGAGCGGACTGGTCTGGCTCCTGACCCACCAAAACGGCTCTCCTTGAGTTGACCAAAGGCTTCTCGGGTAGCAAATCCAAGAAATGCCCTTTACTCTGTTGCCTGACGCTTTCTCCCCGCGTTCTAAACGGCCGAGTTCGGGGACGTCTCGGTAGCCCCGGCCAACTAGCCGCTACTGGGCCCCCGGCGCGCCTTCGGTAAACACTCTCGGAAAGGATGAGCCCACAGGGTTGATCCCACCCTGGGAGCCCGCACCAGTCATTCATTCGGCACACATCTGTGGAGGGCTTCCCGCGTGTGCTTGTCGTGCGCTCCAGATACTCGGTGCTGGGGATCCAGCCGCCACGCAGTCCGGCGGAAGGACGCCAGAATACACCTAAATTCCACCCCCGCCAGCGCCCGGGTCGCTGCACTGAGGATTTGGTGACGACAGCTCCTATAGCTGAGGGAATGGCTGACGGATTACAAAACCAAACCAACCCCATTCCCCGGCTTCTGGCAGGCCGTCGTGGGCTACCACGGAGGGGGACCTCTCCTTTCGGCTAAAACACTCCCTGTGCGGGAAGGAGGGGTCCCTGGGCCTCACCCCAGCGGGAGCAGGTGGTGAGCGAGTCCTCTCAGACCTGCGCTCTACCCTCGTTTCCCCAGTGGGCGGTTTCAAACCCACCCACTAGGTTCCCTCCCGGCAGCCTGCAGTTGCAAAGCACGGGACCACAGGCGACGTGGCCGGCGGGTCCCCGGAGGAAGACGACCGTATCGGCCGCTCCCGGAACGCCTGCCCGCCCTGTTTCCTCTCCCGGGGTCTGGGTCGCAGAGACCCTCCCGGGCTGACAGCCCTCGCGCACTGGCTGCCCTTACCGGAGCCGGGGTCGCCTCGGCCATGGCCCTGCGCTGTCCGGCCCACGGGGAGTCGCCGCCGCTGCGCGCAGTCCCACGCAGCCCCGGCCGCCCAGTCCTCTTGACAAGAGGCAACGGCCCGGCCCTGCCTTCAAGCACGGATAGGCTCTCGCGGATGTCGGGCTTCCGGACGTGGCAGAGGCGCGGGACGGACGGACAGGCAGACTGCTGGCGGGATGGAGGTGAGGTGGCGAGGCAGGTTCCGCCGCGCTCTGCCTGCAGCGACTCCTCCGGTGGCGCTTGGTGAGCAGCGAGTGCACCGGGCCGGCCTAGACCCGCCGCAGGCTCGCGCCGCCCGAACGCCCCGGCCAGCACGCCCCCTGCCGGCCCCTGCGGCCAACGCCGCCCGCGGTCCCTCCGCCCCCGCGGGAGGTCGGCTGCTGCGCGCTGAGCTGGGCGCACTGAGCCCGCGCATGTCCGGCTTTCTCACATACCCCGAGAACCCTCCTCGGATGGTAGTTTAGAAAAGGAAACCTGCGTTCGTGCTGGGGAGGGATTTTCTAATTGGAAGCCCAATGAGTAGGCCCCACCCGAAGGGAAACGCTGAGGCAGAATGGGCTGAGTGGGAGGGTGTGAGACCCGACCCCAGCGAGCTTGGAAATTAGAAAGCGTAACCAAGAGGCACGAATATGTGATGAAGGAGATGTGTATCATTTGTAGAAATTACAGACTTGGCTCGGCGCCTGTGGCTCAAGTGGCTAAGGCGCCAGCCACATACACCTAAGGTGGTGGGTTCGAATCCAGCCCGGACCCGCCAAACAACGATGCTGCAACCAAAAAATAGCCGGGCGTTGTGGCGGGCACCTGTGGTCCCAGCTACTTGGGAGGCTGAGGCAGGAGACTCGCTTGAGCCCAGGAGTTGGAGGTTGCTGTGAGCTGTAATGCCTCGGCACTCTACCCAGGGGTACAGCTTGAGGCTCTGTCTCAAAAAAAAAAAAAAAGAAATTACAGACTCCAAGTTGAAGCGGTTCCCATCTCACGTGATCCGTGTTGGGACCAAATAACCTACGGTCTCGCTCGCATCTCGGATTATTGCCTCTCTGCGTCCTGGACATGGCAGAACAAACGCTTAACGTTCGCGTTAGCTCGGTTTGGGCCAATGTGAGGGGAGAAACAAGTGTCACCTGTGACCTGAGCGTTTTAGATCAACAGAGTGTTACCCTAAGATAAACCGCGCAATCCTAGTTTTCCAGCACAGTCTACACTTCAAACATGCATGACTCAGGCCCTCCCAAACCTGTATTTCAACAGAGGAATCAAGTCAGTGCCCAGTAAAAGTATCTGTAAATCACAGAAATATGAGAATCAGCCTGTTAGGACAACTGCTCTTGAGAGCTATTTTAGCCTGTAGCTACATGTACAGTACGTAATTTAAGGTCTACCTGAATACACATATTGGTCAAATGGTGAATGTTGGATAGTTAAAATTGGCATTCTCAAAGTCAGAACATGACCAGCTACAAGAAAAAAAAAATCCTGAATTTCCTTGGAAAGAAAATTCCATTCTAAAATTGTATTTTTAAAATTTCGTAGTTGGTGGCTCAGTGCCTGTGGCTCAAGTAGCTAAGGCTTAAGTCACACACACCTGAGCTGGCGGTTTGGAATTCAGCCCAGACCTGCCAAACAGCAATGAAAGGCTGCAACCAAAAAATAGCCAGGCATTGTGGCCAGTGCCTGTAGTCCCAGCTACTTAGGAGGCGGAGGCAAGAGTTGGAGGTTGCTGTAAGCTATGATGCCAGGGCACTCTACCCCAGGGCAACAGCTTGAGGCTCTGTCTGAAAAAAAAAAATGTACTTGGGCAGGCCTGTGATTCAAAGGAATAGGGAGCCAGCCCCATATACTGGAGGTGGCGGGTTCAAACCTGGACCGGCCCCGGCCAAAGAAACTGCAAATAATAATAATAAATAAAATAAAATTTTGTAGTTAACATTTTAAAGTTTAACCTTACTAGGCAAACTTAAGTTTTTTTTGAGACAGAGCCTCAAGCTGTCCCCCTGGGTAGAGTGTTGTGGCATCACACCTCATAGCAACCTCCAACTCCTGGGCTCAAGCAAGTCTCTTGCCTCAGCCTCCCAAGTAGCTGGGACCATAGACCCCCGCCACAATGTCTGGCTATTTTTTGGTTGCAGCCATCATTGTTGTTTGGCGGCCAGGGCTGTATTCGAACCTGCCACCTTAGGTGTATTGTGGCTGGTGCCTTAGTCACTTGAGCTACAGGTGCCGAGCCACAAACTTAAAATTTAACAGGGACATTTTCATTACTAAATAAGACACTTTCAGCTGAGCTCCAAGGATTGGCCATACTAGCATTGTATAATATACCTAATATTACCACAAATGTATTACATGTTCCTTCCTCTAATAGAAACTCTTTTTTTTTTTTTGAGACAGAGTCTCAAGCTGTAGCCCGAAGTAGAGTGTTGTTGCATCATAGCTCACTGAAACCTCCAACCCAGGAGGCTCAAGTGATCCTCTCACCTCAATTTTTCTATTTTTAGTAGAGACAGGGTTATGTTTTTGCTCAGACTGGTCTCTAACTTATGAGCTCAAGCAATCCACCTGCCTCGGCCTCCCAGAATGTTAGGATTATAGGCTTGAACCACTGTGCCTGGCCCTCCAATAGGAACTCTTTCTTCCTATTTAATTCCCGGCTTTAAAAAGATTTTTTTACAAAACACTAGATACTGGCATGGATGTGGAGAGAAGGGACCCCTTCTACATTGCTGGTGGGGTTGCAAACTAATAAAGCCCTTTTGGAGAGAAGTATGGAGAATCCTCAAAGATCTAAATGTAAACCTTACATTTCACTCTGCAATCCCATTACCAGGTATCTACCCAGAAGAATGTAAATCATTTTACCACAAAGACAGGTGCACTAGAGTGTTTCTTGTAGCTCAATGCATAACTGCCAAGTCGTGGAAGCAACCTAAGTGCCCATGAACGCATGAATGGATCAACAAACTATGATATATGTAAAAAAAGTTTGGCTCAGTGCCTGTAGCTTAGTGGTTAGGGTGTTACAACATACACTGGGTCTGGTGGGTTCAAACTCTGCCTAGCTTGGGCCTGCTAAACAACAATGACAACTACAACAATACAAAAAAATAGCCGGGCGTTGTAGTGGGTGCCTGTAGTCCCAGCTACTTGGGACACAGAGGCAAGAGAATCCCTTAAGCCCGAGAGTTTGAAGTTGCTGTGAGCTGTGATGCCAAGGTTCTCTACCCAGGGTGACATAATGAGCCTTTGTCTCAAAAAAAAAAAAAGGTAGAGGCTCAGTGCCTGCGGCTCAAGTGGCTAAGGCGCCAGCCACATACACTTGAGCTGGTGCGTTCGAATCCAGCCTGGGCCCACCAAACAACAATAATGGTTGCAACCAAAAAATAGCTGGGCGTTGTGGCAGGTGCCTGTAATCCCAGCTACTTGGGAGGTGGAGGTAGGAGATTCACTTGAGCCCATGAGTTGAAGGTTGCTGTGAGCTGTGATGCCACAGCACTCCACCCAGGGGGCGACAGCTTGAGGCTCTGT